GAATTTTTTGTCATAGAAGGAAAGTTAGAGAAAGATTTTGCTCTCAATTATTTTGGGAGACAAAGTGGGAGAAAGCATGTTTTTGTTAAATAGTGATTAGGTTGGTTACCAAATCTGGGCAAGAGCTGGGCAAAGGAAATTCTTGAAAGATAAGAGATTGTTAAAGAGAAATTTTTTTCAAAAGTACAGTGGACGTACACTCCCATACATTCCTCCTTTAGCCACGGTACTGCATCTACTATAACAAAAAGCAAAGTAGATTTTAATAAAAATCTTGCGTTTTCGAGCGATTTTTTTGCTACATAAACTATACATTCATTTCCTTCTTTTAGGAGCCATTCAAAGAACCAAAATGTTTGACTTGTTTGCATACATTTTGTGAACAATGTATAGAAAATCATTTATCAGCACAAAGGTGAGATAAAAGTTTGTCTTATTCAATGATTTTTAACATTCAGTTTTTTTATGAATTGTAGAACATACAAATATACTGATTATCGTGAATTTGCATGTCCAATATGTCGTAAGAAAACAGCCATCCCCACTGGAGGGGTACATAAATTGCCGGATAATTTTCTTATTGCCGGACTCTCTGAAATGTTATCAAATAAAACTGTCGCGAAACTAGCTAACTGTGATATGTGTAAAACGGGTTTGTATTCTATAATTAACTCATTTTTATTGTTTTATATAATATTTTTTTTCTTTCATTCAATAGTCCATGATCGTGAACGTGAAGCAAGTTCGAGATGTTTAGAATGTCAAAAGTTTTTATGTCGTCATTGTGTTCAAGCTCATCAAACTATCAAAGTTACTCAAGATCATTCAATCTATGAATTAGAAATTGAAAAAGATATCTTATGTAAAAATCATTTAACCGAATTTGTTCGTTTCTATTGTGAACAATGTCAATGTTGTATATGTATTGCGTGTACATACTCGGAACATCGTGATCACGAACTATCCGATTTTCGTTCGGCAGCTATTAATCATAAACAATATATTCAAGTATGTCTTGATCAATGTAAATCAAAAATGAATGATTTAGAAGATTATTTACAAATAATAAAACGTTGTGATTCAAATATGGCAACAATCGAAGCAGCAATACATACACTTGCAACAACATTTGAAAAATCATTGAGAGTTAAAGAACAAGAATTAGTAGCACAAGTATTTTCATTGTATGGTGATGAAACACATGAATTTATTAAACGTCGAGAAGAATTAGATGAATATTTTGAACAAATAAAAAATACATGTTCACTCACTGAACTTGTTGTTAATGGTAAGAGTTTTGATTGATGATTCTATTACATTTATATGAATTATAGTTCTAATATTCCGTTTTCTCTCAACTATAAAAGAAAATAGCTCTTTTCTTTTTCATTTAGGAAAAGATATTGAATTATTATTAGTTAAAAAACAATTAGCTGAAAAATTTCGTGAATTAGAAACAGTTGAATTAGAATCATTGCCAGAAAATATTCATATGCGTATAAAATTTTGTCCGGGTAAATTAGAACTTGGCAAGTTGATGATGTGTTCAATGACACCGCCTGATGATGATGAACAAGAAGGTCTCTTAGAAGACGATGATATCGATGAAAATGAAAATATTGAACAGGAAGAGGATGAAATAAGTGACAATATATTAAAAACAGAAAATTATAAATTAAAAACAAATAATGATAATTTAACTGAATTTACTGCACTAACGTCAGATGAAATAGGTATACAAGTTGAAGAAAATGAATTAGAACAATTAAAATCATTTTGTGATATGTCCACACAAACAGAGGATATAATAAACGAACAAAAAATACTACAAACACAGGAACAAGCCATACAGGTATTAATTAAATTTCAAATTTTTGCTACTCTTGATATACATATCTTTTGATTTAATTATAGACAGTCGAAGATGGAATCGTATTTGATGGTAATAAAATAACAATTATTCCGCCAGATGAAAATGGACAAGTGGATGTTAGCCCGAATGCATATGAACAAAGTAATAAATTATCTCGGCGAGTACGTCGACTATTGAAACCAACGTGTAGTGTAGCGGTTTTACCAAATACAGACGTTATTATATTGGATTGTGAACAAAATTTGGCTTCTATACTTGATAAACGTGGAAAATTTAAATATTGTTTTTCATCTGAACCTAATTTGGATCGTAAAAATTTAGCGGGAGTGGCGGGATTTTCAAGTATAGCACAAGTTAGTAATGACCGATCGAAAGTTGTTCGTATTCCAACGCCACAAGGTCTATTATGTATTAAATTAAAAGGTGAACGTGTCTCTGATTTACCATTGGGCTTTACAGTACATGCATTCAACAGTATATCTGAAAGTGATAATTAATAAAAAATAACAAAATTTTATATTGTTTATTATTTATTAAACAAACATTAGTTTTTGCGAAATAATATTGTATGAATCTTCATACAGATAATATTTTTCTCTTAATTATTGAACGTTTATTTGTTATTGCTTGAAATAAATCTAAGTCATATTTTTAGATTTTATAGTCAATATCATAAATTCATCGTTCAAGATAAATAAACACAATTGCCAGATTTTCTGATGTTTTTGTCGCAAACCAGTTATCATATATCTTCACTTGTATTTTTATCGAAAAGACTTTCTAGAGAAAATTATCTTATAAATTTTATCGAAATAATATTGAAAAAAACAAAAACAGTGTCTGTACATTATGTTTGTTTCATGGTAGCATAATTAATTATATTAAAAGTAATGTTTATGTAGACTATGAGATAAAACAATATTTTGTGTCTTTACTTGTAAGTGTATGATCTAATTTTACTTTATTTTTATTATAAACAAAATGTTAGACGAATCTTGGCGAAAAGTGTTCAATGCAAGAAAAGTTCCAATTGGAAGAAAAGATCGATTTGTCGTTAATATGACTACTGTTCAAAATATAATGAGAGATGCTCAACTTTATAATGAAAATTCTCCGTTTGATATAGAAAAAACTCAAATTGCTACAGCTTATAAGACAGTTTGTTCAAAATTTCATAGGACAATGTAAGTCAATTGTTTTTCTTTATATCCAATAATGGTTCATGAAAAAACAAATCTCTTTATATCAACGGAGATCAAGTCTTAAACAAGTAAATCCGTGTTTCGAAACAATAACTTAGACTACGCATTTTTTTTTCTATTTCTCCATTAAATAGTGTTGAATAAAAAAAAAACGTGTTTGTGTGATATTTTCTAGTTGAAAAAGTCAACTAACTATCGAAAGTAATTCATTAAAAGAGCAAAATGTAGTACATTTTAAAATCGTTTACATTTCGTCAGAAAAATTGAACAAAGTGTATTAGCGTTTACTTCAATTTGAGTGTACGATAAACTAAATGAACTATGGATTTTGTTTATCATATTTTCTATGATCAAATAAAAATATGCAATGTCTTTTGATTAGGTTGTCGTTTGACGAATTTAAACAATTTATTATTGAATATGCTAAAGGAATAAAGAAGGATAAAGAAATAATTGAAACTGCAATTAGTCGATTACAGAAACCATCGTATAATGTACAAAAGGTAAAATATATTTCTTTTTAAAGTCTTTAGAGAGAGAGAGAGATCGCAGACAAAGGTTTCCAAGTGTCTCCTCTCACAATGGACAATTTTAGCTTGTGATACGGCATCAGAATTTTAAGACAATGAGCAAAGTGACCATAGCCGTCCGAAATTGCATTATTTATTAGAAAATGCTTGCGTTTCAATCAACACAATGACCATTATCAAGGAAATTGAAATGATACTAATACTTTTTGTTCTCTTCTGTTATACATTGTTCAAACGTTTTCGTTTTATTTTCCTTGATAATGGTCACTGTATTGATCGAAATGTCATTCATTTTCTAATAAACAATGAAATTTCGGACTGCTGCCGTTACTTTGCTCATTGTCTTAAAATGTAGTCCCGTTAACAAATCTAATATTGAACGTCAGAATCTTTTTATGAACAAATCTTTTTTCATATATCATTATCATTCTCCAGACATTCCAAACTTTATAAATGAAAAATAAATCTTGTCGAAAAACTATCAGTTTTTTTCATATTCATGCGCTACTTTCGAATATGCCATGACTAATAAAATTCAAATCCAATGGTTTTCACAGATTTTCAGATCTCTTTTCTCAAACAAGTTCCTCAAATATTTTGAAAGCGACGAAAAAATGCTTTCACTTTTTCGTGAGAAAATATCGGTATCATTGTCCACTGTACTGTTGAGATTAGAGATGCACACGGGTACTGCTTTCGTACCCGTACCCGATCCGAAAATTTTTTTCCACCCGTACCGGACCCGTACCCGACTTATGTTTAGATAGTGACCTTTATGCTTTTCAGATTCGTAACTAGTGAGTGTAAGATGGACTAATTTTTAATTAGAAAGGTAAAAGTTCAGTGTGAAATCAAAGCTGATTTACATGCGTTCCAACCATTTCTGCTGTGGGGTTAGAATTACGCCAATTTACTTTAATAACAAACGGTGGAGGAAAAGGTTCTTTCTTTTTCTCGAATTTGCCAAAACTCATCATTTTCAAACTACAGGGACACGTATAAAAACTTTTATGAGACAAACAAAATCAAACATTTTGAGTTCGAATTTGTTTTATATTATTGTCTAACTAAATTCCACGAAGGCATTTGAAGACCTTACGTTGTAAGCAAGGAAAAACATCTTAGATCAAAAGAATGGGAGAGTGACACTTAGGTAAAAAAGTACCTTTTGTTTTAGACCAAAGAAGATCCGGTAGTAACTCGTCTAACCAATCCCAAACTCTACGGTGGTACACATGTACATCGTTTTGAAGAAAATGGCAAGGGAGCGGGTAAATCGGGACGTATGGATATTGCAAAAGACACTACTGGATATGTACAAGGATACACAAATAAAGGGATGTACGATAAGCCTATCAAAACAAGGCTGTCTATGAGTTCAAGAAAAGATGCGTCATACTATAATCAAACCGATGATTCTGAAATAAATTATTTAAAAGCACCATCGAATTTTATGAGAGCAAAGAACAATGAACATTTATTTGATCAGTCGTTCACAAAACTATCTACTAACATTAAATTTGCCGATCAAAATGAGATACAAGGCAGATATGGTCGAATTGGTCTCACTTCACCGAAAGAACAAATGAATGAAAGAAAATAACGTATCTAATGCGCGGTACATGATCATTCAAAATTAACAAATAAGAAACGATTTATATCTAGGAAAATTAAGGTTTCATTCACAATCCTGTATAACGGAGAAACATGACAAGAATGAAAGATCAAAATATTAACGTTAGCGTTGACAGATTAATTATCAACACAAATATTGCCATATTCATCTAAATGTTGGAATGTATATGCTACCATGATGCAGAATTTATTTTACAACTATATGAATATATTTGTTTATCTGCATTTTGTATGTTTATTTGTTAATTATGAGCTTTCGAACAATTAGTATTCATCTTTATTTAATAGAGATGAAAAAACTAAGTAAAATGGAAACGGTTACGTTAAACACTTACACTAAGTTATACTGGATTAGAAAAAAAGCAGTCAGTTTTTCTTTTTACTACATCTCTACTCGGTTTTATCCGTTTTAAATAATCTTATTACCATTCGATGCACCTTGAAATTCTCTACGTATTGTGACAGGTCGTACAAAAAATACTAAGATCCAACATGGTTAACTTTCTTGTCAAAAATTTTTTTTTAAATAGCTTAAACGGGTATCATGATACATAAGAATAATTTTTCTGCTAATGTTAAATATGTACTTTCCTGTGATCTGTGATCAATACTATCCGAAGCTAATATTAAGATGCACAGGATGACTTTATTGAAGTTGAAACTAAACAACATGAAAAATTTTGTTCTTCTTGTTAAACGAAAAAAAACTATTGACTTCTCGTATTTGAATATAACAGACATATCATTTCCCTATAATACTCTAATGGTGTGTAAAAACTTGAAATATACAATTCGATTTTTTATTTCATCAATATCATTTCAAAAAGAGTAAAACATGTAAGGAGATTAAATAAGATCTAACGTTGTCCGAACAATGTTTCTCACAATAATGTAGGTGTATACTTTGCACTTGTTTTCTTTTCTTCAAATATTTCTTTTCGTAGACGATATGAAACTCTGACTACTAATCCATTTAGTGATTCAAGTCCATTTTTGATAGTTAACAGAATAAGTTTCTGGATAAACAAACTCGATTGGAAAATATAAATGAGTAAAACTTTTTTAGCTTTAACAAAAGTACTTTACAGAG